TTAATAAGATTTTAATATGGGAGGCAGCAGATGGAAACTGAAGAGTAGCTGCACAATGTAGATGTCACTATTAACTTCTATCTCTTCCCATACATCACTCGATGCAATGCCTGCTAGGTATTTGATGATATCAACAGGAATTGGCTTCAAGCCTCCAGTAATTATTCTACCGCTTTTATTGAGTGTTCTTTTTTCTACCTCTTTCGCATGGGCTGAGCTATACCACACTGGGGCTGGCATATTCACCTGCAGAGTAGCCTGTACTTCTCTGTGTCTGTGATTTTGTGCTCCAACTGGTTGTCAATAGCTTTTGAAGAATATAATTCCTTACAGAAGCCTTTTGCATTGCCTTTTAGCAGTGTATCTTACAGGTCAGTGTACTATCCAAAGTAACACCTAGGTATTTGGGGACAAAACAATGACCTAGTTAGACGCTGTTCCTGGTAGCCTGAAGTTTTTGAGACGCCCACCTGTATCTCAGATGGTGGAGGACATGGAAAGAGCCTCCCCAAAGAATTTGAACACATTTCGGGTTCTTCCCCTGGGCAATGGCAGCACCCGTTTGGCTGGTCTTTCTACTCAAGAAGCACCAGCATGGAGCTTGGAAGATGAGAATCCATTATTGTTTCCTTACCATGTGAAGCACTTGTACCCTTACAGATCTCAGAAATTGCCCACTTATTCTCAATGATCTAAAGCATCTGACCCACAAAAGGAGCCTTGTCCACAGTCAAAGCTTTCTAGTCCCCAAGCAGACTGACTGTAGCAAATGGCATTGTTTACTCTTTTCATTTCTTTCCCTTTTACTGTCACCTCTGTTGCCATGGCTTACACATACAAGAATTCATGGTCATGGACTTGTGGGTTATTTATTTATTTATTTATTTATTTAAATTATATGCCGCCCACTCTACCCAAAGGTCTCTGGGCGGCTTACAACAATTAAAATTCAATGCAATAAAATAAAATGATTAAAATACAATTAAAATACAATTAAACTTACACATACAAGAATTCATGGTCATGGATTTGTGGGTTACAGTCTATTGTGGGTGCACAGTAGACTATAAGAGCCACATGATTAAGCCCTGAACTCTTTGAAGACGTTTCCACTCTTTTGACCAGAAAGCAGAACGGGCCTGTTCCAACAATACCGCCCTAGGTTGATTTCCTGCTATTTTATGATCCCCCAAAATGATTAAGGCCTTTCTCTTATCCTGGATTGTCAGGTCTATCAGTGATTTTATTTTTGCCACCAAATTTCTGATGAACACACTTTGAGACATGTTCTTTCTCCTTCAAGGCAAAGGGCTGGCAGGTTTCCACTGATGACTGTGTACTGATGTAGCCATTTACCCTCTATACCAGTGTTTCCCAACCTTCAGTATCCCAGGTGTTATTGGACTGCAGCTCCCAGAAACCTCAGCCAGCAGAGCTGGTGGTGAAGGCTTCTGGGTATTACAGTCCAAGGTCATCTGGGGACCCAAGATTGAGAATCACTGCTCTTATACCATAGGTTTTTAACCTGCAGTCCAAGGTCCCCTGGGGGGCTGCAATGTCCTCACAGGGGATCTGTGAAGGCTTGAAGAAATGTTATGATCTTTTTCAGTTAAAATTGATTGATTGAATTGAATGAATGAATGAAGCAAGAAGGAAAAGGAAACACAGAACAAAACCTTAATTTCCCTTGCTTATGTAAAAATTGGCTTTTCTAACCTATTGCCTCTGTTAAAAACAAGGAAAAGGAAAGTTATGCAAAAACTGTTCAATAGCAAATAACTGTTCAATATTTTTGCACCAGTGAGAACATGCAAGTGAATGACACTGAATGTCTGAGAGACAGCATATGATATTTCTTGGTCAGTCCGAAGCTGCAGGAAGAGAGAGTCAGAGTCAGTCATTGTCAGTGTTCTGACAGACTTTGTGATCATGTTTCTTCAATTTCTGCTAATAAAACCATTCAGTTATTGTTGGGTAAAGGGACTTCTCAATATTATCGCAGTGAATTTTGTAACAATACATTTGGCTGATCCTCAGAATGGATCACTGGCTGAATCTGAAACGCAAAACAACTGTGGGTGTTGATGACAGTGTATCCTGTTCAAAGCAAAAGTAATCTTAAAAAGTGTTGGTGGTATAGCAAGGAATATTTGTTGATCAGATCCTTAATGAGAAACTTTAAATATTTGATACATTTTAAGATTTTAAATCTTGGGTTAAATCTTGGTGGTCCACAGCAACAAAGGATATTTAAAGGGGTCTGGGGTAAAGAAAAAAATTATGAACTGCTGCTCTATATCATGGGCTTCTCTATGTGCTATTAGGCAGCATTACTTTCAGCTCTGCTTGTTTCTTCTCAGCATTTCCATCATCCCCCAATACAGTGGGGAATGGCAGAGGTGCAGCGGTAACAGCTGGCTTTCCTTGGGCTATGAGAATTATCTTCCCTTATATTGATGATTGTCATGAACTCAAGAACCAGTTTAAGGAGGGAGGTAAAGGTAAAGGTTCCCCCTTAACATTTAGTCCAGTTGTGTCCAACTCTAGGGCGCGCGGTGCTCATCCCCATTTCCAGCATTTTGTCCGAAGACAATCTTCCGTGCTCACGTGGCCAGTGCGACTAGACACCTTCCCACCATGGTGGTACCTATTGAGAGACACAGAAGGCCGTTACCTTCCCACCGTGCTGGCACCTATTTAGCTACTTGGATTTTTACATGCTTTCAAACTGCTAGGTTGGCAGGATAAGGAGGGATACTGCTTTTAATTTTCAACTCTGGGAACCATTCAGGCTCACATTAAGTTCTGTAACTTTCCCTCTAGCCCCTTTTCAGGCAGTATACAGGAGTGATCCTAAATTCAGTTCTGGCATTGGTCTCCCACGCCACCTCAGACCACCCCCATGCAAAAAAGTGCAACCAAAACTGATGTCAAAATTCGGACTTTCTACTCACAGAGGGCTCCAGAAGCAGGAGTATTTGCTTTTTCTGTATGAAACCAAAAATCCAAACTGGATTTTGTTCCTTATCCCATTTTCTTGTTCTTTTCTGAGCATCAAGTGGCATGTGGTTGATGCTGAGCCAAAATGTTGGTTCCCAGGCTTGCCAGGTCTGTGTCAATGTCCAGGCCGCTAAAGTCACCATTGACCTCAAAGTCTGAACATCTGGTCCGTCATTCACTTGTATACTACAGCCTAAGTAACCTGTACAGAAGCTTATGGAACCCCCTTTCTACTACTAACCCCTATAAATTTGAGGCATGAACCTAAAAACTATTGGGCCTTATTTATAAAACTTTTAAAAAATGATTACATGAATACACTGTCTCATATTATAGAATTAGTATTTATAATCTTTATTCCATCATGACATCTTTGAGCTGCAACACATTTTAAAGTTATCATTGTGCACGGCTTTTTTTAAAAAAAGTATTTCAATAATACATTTAAAACCAGATTTAAATGCAAAACAAATCCTATTTAAATGTTTAAAAATCTGATTTATTTTAAGCACCTACCCCTTTAATTCTGTAACATGTGGCAAATGTTATGGATCACAATGAATAGCAGTAGCCTTTAACTCTAAATTGATAGTTACAACTCTCCTGTCCCTCGTCTGCCCCAGATGTATGCACTATGTCAAGCTATCTTTTTAAGGGGTTGGAAAAATATATATGAAACCATGCCCTCTTTCTCGAAACCAGCTTTCAAGTAGCAGGAGGGTCTTGTTCATGTTGATTATAAGCTATACAGTCTTCTGCCCTTTTGAGTCTGTTGGCCAAAGAGAAAGACCCTTTTCTGCACAAACCTCCCAACAGCAGAGATCAGTGGAGGCCTCCTTCTTGGTGACTTCTGTTCTGGAGAGAAGAGATGCTGTGATGGCTGAATAGGATGTATGGCTATAAATGAATGGAACATTTTGAATCCCTATCCAAGACAGATAAAGAGTTTACTAGCGATCGAAAGGGGTAGGTGTGGGGTCTGGCATGTAATCCAGAGACAGACTGGGTCCCCTGTAGTGGCAATACGAAAGGTGTGGCTCTTCTGTGCAATTTGCAATAATCTGTAGTTGGACAGGCAAGAATATATTAAGACAAGATATCTTACCTTTTGAAGTAACTTCCACTAAATGAGTTGCCCGCTGGAATAAAACCTTAGATGCAAAGCAAGGTTTTGTGTCTTGGGCTCAGATCTTACTGTTCTGCCTTTCCAAGAAATGCAGGTCCTATGCCTATTAGAGATGGGCACAAACTGGTTTGCCCTGGTTTGTAAAGGCAGCAGCAAAGGTGCTGCTCCTCCCCTTCTCTGCCTCCTCAGCCAATCTAGCCACTCACCAGACCCAGTTTGCATGTTTTTTTTCCACCTCCTCGGCACTCACCAGGCCCAGTTTGCATGTTTTTTTCCACCTCCTTGTCTCATCTTCCAGTTATGAGCAAGAGCACAGACTCCTGAGTGGGGCAGAGAAGCCTCAGCTGAGGCCAGTAGTGGAAGATCAGTTGAGGAGCTGCCAGAAGCTAGCAAAAAGGGTCTGGTGAGTGGCTTTTTTAGCCAGAGAAAGTGAGGGAAGGGAACAGCAGTACCTGCGCTGCTGCCTTGATGAACCAGGACAAACCGGTTCATGCCTATCTCTAGTGCCTATTGCTGTTTTGTGACTAACCAGACCCACCACAACACCCAGTGTGCAAATGAGCAAAATCTTCCCAATCCCAGAATGGCATCCAGATAATCCCAAAACAGTGGGGATCCCTGACCGAAAGCCACCAATGGGATCTTTATCTTAAATCCACTTGTTTCACCCTTTTCAAATGATTCTGTTTACAAATATGGAAAGCCTGGAATTAGAATTTCTTGAAGGGAAATAAAACCCTCCTGCCTCATAGCCTCCATTACTGTTTATTAAAAATATATATTTTTTAAAAAAATTAAAAATAAATTAAAAAATTTACAAAGATGATGGGGAAAGATAAGCTAAGTGGACAAAAATTATTCAGAAGCAATGCAGAACACTGGCAAAACTATATTTTAATTGGAGTCTATCAGAAATAGCATAGACTCAGATTTTTTATTTTCCATCAGAAAACCCCAGAAGGTGAGAGTGAAGAATCTAACATATGTTGCTTAACAGTTACACTTAAAGCTGATGTATTCTTACCCAGTGAGAATCTAAGGACTATAGTAGATAATTATATATAATCTTCATAGCACAGGATCAGAATGGTTGGTTAATCATTACATCATGGTAGTCCACTTTTTTTTAAAAAAAAGGCCTCTTTCAGATGCTCTATTACCCTGAAAAAAATAATAAAATCTAACAACACAAACTGGTTTCAAGCAGGAATGTCTAAAAGTAGAGAACGTTTACACAGAATGGCTCTCTGTCAGAAGCTGATACAAGTCACCAATTACAAACAGCTCAAGCCGAAATCTTGCAAGGAAAACCACCCACCAGAGTCCTCAAATGTCTTCTCATTCCAGGAGGAGAAGTGCCAGCCCAACTGCTGACTGGCAACAGGGACAACAGTCCAAACGTCCTGGCCAGAAGCAGCATGTAGCGTTGCTCTCTTCTCCAGAATCCAAATCCTCTTTGGCTCACTGTGTGATGTACAATCAGTCGTACAGAGCTTCACATGGCGTGATCACAGCTTTCTGTGAGGAGCTGGGAGTTGTTCTTCTTGTGACAAAGTCAGTCTCAGGAGTAGAAATGTTTCAGTATTTGTTGATACCAAAGATGCGGACACCATGGAACAGGGGTAGCTTGGGCAGGAGGACGCTCAGCAGCGAGGTTGTGTTGATTATAAAGTGCATGGGGTCATACTTAGTATAAAAGCTTGTTAAGATGTAGCTGGATGGGAAAGAAATGTACTGTGTTAGCGCTACATATGTTCAGAATGGCTTTTCAATCTTTGGCACAATTAGACTCCAACACTTGAAAATATTTTCTGATTTAAAAAAAATGACTTGCCTTAATTTTAATTTAAGGATGGATGGTGGAAATAGGTCTCCATGCTTTAAGATACATCAATAGCTAGAAATGCTCCTTTTTCTTTTTAAATCCTCAGAGCATCAAGAGTAGAAAAATACTTATAAAATTGTGTTTGTAAACAAAGTCCACCTAATCATGCTTCTCACTAGCAAACAGATGCCTTAAAAACCCTTTCAATAGGACAGAAATGCAGAATGAGAGGCCCTACAGATGTTGAATGGCAACATCCATCATTTCTAACCTGTGGCTTGGCTGCCTAGAACTGATAGGAACTGCAGCACAACAATATCTGTTGTGCAACAAACAGTTGCATTAGGCTTCTACAGAGATTTAAATTACTTATTTATTTTTAAGACCAGGCTAAAGAAACTGTGGCTGCTGAATTCCAATCTTCAGCATGTGTAGCCAGCTTCGCTAATACTGATATACATTAGTTGATGAGAGAAGTAATTCAACAACTTCTCTGGGATGAAAGTTTGCTCAAGAGAACATCCATCCTAATCATGTGCCTACAGATGTCTGAGTTGTAGGCAATGGTTTCAGCTCTCTAGGCTGCAAGAGACACACAAGGAGAGAATAGATGCTCTGCTTCATAACTATCAGATTAATTTTTTTGAAAGTACCAAAGCAAGTTTTTTAAAGATGCAGAATATATCTCACAATCAAAGCCTTAGGCTCTTTATATGTCATTCTTTGGCAAGGACTAGACAGCATACACACAGCCCAAGTACTGAGAAAATAAGCGAAAGCTTGATCAGAAAGAAAATAGGCAGATTCAGAGCTATGACGCGGTACAGCATAACCAAAGTACCCTGAATACCATCTGTTTCCAAAGTAGTAGACTTTATAATAAGCAATAATTAATGCAGCTCTGAGCAATTCCTGGTGCTTACAGAACAATTGGTGAGATGATCAAGAACTTGCGGGAAGAAGTCCATTGTGTACCATAATCAATCTGCTCCCAGTGTGTGAGCAGGCGATCCTTGCCCTGGTCAGGTGTTTCAAATGGGGTCCCTTTCACTGTGTGCAGGAGCCAATACATGGCCTAAAAAAGAGAAAGAAAAAACACTGTGATCTTTCCCCCTCTTTTTTATGGGTACAAGAGGAAAGAGGACAGCAGGCATGGCTTCTTGTACTGTCAAGATTAAAACATAGTTACAAGGAATTTTGGAGGATCCAACATATAATGACAACCAGGACTGCAAGACAGAAATTCTAAACAGATTTCATACTTCCGTATACATATTAGGCAAGACTTCTCGGGGAAAAACAAAAATAATATATATCAAAGAAACAATTCCACTGAGAAAACAATCTAAGAGCAAAGATGAAAAATAAAATTCAAGGAACTATAGCCCCTGACCAGATCTGACAGTTAGTGAGAGTTGACCTACCAGGTTATGGATGACATTGGTCAGAGTCCAGACCACAGGAACACTAAAGAAAGGGATGCTGAGAAGGATCACATGGAGGACAGCCACCGAGATGCTATAGGCAAGCCAGATGCCTCGGCTATTCATCACTCGAGTGTTGGGATTTACTTCACTATGGGCTACCCCAACATTCATCCTGGAGAAAACACAGAAAAGGACTCCAAATTTTCAGTAGGCTTAATACTGTTCTCTTCTCTTCCTCTATGCAGATTTGGCCTCTGAACTTGCTCATAGGCTTCTTTCAGGTATCACCTCTGAATATCAGCCATCCTCAGAACCTCCTAAGCATCAGTGTCAGAAAATAAAGGTCAAAGCAAAACAGTCCTCTGCCTTAATGTCAGAGAACTGGTGCAAGGACATGTGCTTAACTCAGAATAATCAGAGCTTCCAAATTTTTACATTTATCATGCTCAATTGTCTTAGGACAGTAGTTCCCATCCCGGGGTAACCCAGGTGTTCTTGGACTGCAACTTCCAGAAACCCCAACCATCACAGTTGGTGGTAAAGTTATCTGGGAATTGCCTACTTCATATCTGATGAAGAAGACTGCAGTACATGAAAGCTTATGTGAAATGAAATCTCTTAATCTTTCAGACAATGCAAAACTCTTCATTGTTACAACTCCGCCTTTCCACATCCTTCTTTTCCCACGTCAAAGCCACTTTGAACTATTATTCAAAAAGAGCCAGGACCATGCAGGTTTACAAAAACTATTACTGTAGATGTATTTTGCTCACCACAGAGGATCAAGCAGAAGAAAAGGAACAGAGTAAAAGAGTATTGCTGCCTACCAGCTTGTTGACTACAGCTTTAGTGGGGACAAAGGAGGGATATAAACATATCAAATATGCATTGCTCTACACTTTGCAGTAGTCATTTTATGAGCTAACTTGGTGGTCTTGGCCAAGAGAGATTATTCCAGAGATCTCTATCAATTATTAAAAAGGCTTGTCTATAGCTTAATGTATGCTTTAGTGTACACCAGCTTTTAGTGTAAAGCTGAACCCCTTACGTTAAAGAAATTTGCTTCTTCATTCCAATATGCCACGCAAGGACCAAAGCAGAGAAAGCAGATGCACAACTTTCCAGTCCTTTCCATCTATCTCGGGGAAGAAAACCATAATCACTTTCGAACAATGTGAGTCGAAGAAGAACTGGAGAGGAATTGTGGTTTTGGGTGGAAGAATGAAACACGGCAAAATCTTTCTGTTTCAACCTAGCAAGCAAAATACCTTAGTTCAGTGGAAAGTAACTCACTGTGCACAGAAAAAACTTCACCAAACAGGACTTAGAACCTTGATCTAATTGTAGAGGGCCAGAAGTGTAGGCAATATCAAACGTGATGGACCTACAGCGCGACTCGATGTAAAGCAAGTCTCTTATGACAGCCCATGGAGCTGCCTGATTATGGCTGTGTGCTGTTAAATCACCTCAGACTTTTGGTGACCCTATGCATGAGTGATTTCCAAAATGTCCGGCCCTCAACAGCCCTGCTCAACTTTTTTGTAAACTGAAGTCTGTGGCTTCCTTCAGGGAGCCAATGCACTCCCATAGTTAGTCTTGCTCTTTCCTGATGTATTCAAAGTGTGACCCTCTGTTCTGTTAATTCACTTTGCTTCTAGAGAGAGCTGATTTGATCCAGGGCCCTCCTGTTCCTTCGTTTGGTTTTGATGGTCCCTAAAGCTACCCTGAGTGCTCACTGGAAGGACAGATCCTGAAGCTGAGGCTCCAATCCTTTGGCCATCTCATGAGAAGAGAAGACTCCCTGGAAAAGACCCTGATATTGGGAAACTGTGAAGGAAAGAGGACAAGGGGACGCCAGAGGACGAGATGGTTGGACAGCGTCATCAAAGCAACCAACATGACTTTGACCCAACTCTGGGAGGCAGTGGAAGACAGGAGGGCCTGGCGTGCTCTGCTCCATGGGGTCAAGAAGAGTCGGACACGACTCAACGACTAAGCAACAACCACAAAAGCTCTCCTCCTGCACCACAATTTGAACAAATCGATTTCCGCCCGCCCTCGGCTTTCTTCCCTGCCATCTCTACCTGTTCGCCTCTGAGGGCTAGCCAATGTCATACAGTACTGCTAGGTGCCGTCGACTCGTTTCTGCGAGATGTTCAAGACACTGCGGCCACCTCCACCCACCTGCCCCTCCACCCAGCGAGTTTCTATGGCTGAGGAGGCAGCTCGGAACTCAGCTCTCCTGAATCTCAGTTGAAAGCTCCGGCTACTACACCGCCTCCGCCTCCCACGACGCCCATCGATATCACTGCCACGGGACTGCCGGGAGACGGTCCAGGTCCTGCCTTCTTCCGCACCCAACAGGCCTCCCCATTTCCCATCCCTTGTCCAGAGACCGGAGGCAAGCACCGATGCCTGAGCCCCACCTCCGTTTATCTCCTGGGTCTCCGGAATTAAGAGCCCCAAAGCCCAAAGCAGTTCGCGTCCGCTAGTCATGACCGTGGCCACCCCCGTCTCTCGTACCTGGCGGCTTCCGCGACACCCCGTGAGGCCGGCCAAGCCGAAATCTGCGGATCGCTGCGACGCTACAGGCGGCTTCCAGGAAACGAGCCGCCCTCCGCCTTTCCTCCTCCGACCTGGACCGGTTAGCCAATAAGCGACGTGTCCGATCTCCTTCCTTCCTCTCTATTGGTCAGTATTCGCTGCCATTCTTAACTTCCAGCCGTTTCTCAGTGAAAGGAGCCAATGAAGATAAAGGACGTTAGGAGGTTTAAAGTTCAAGAGAAACAGCGGTCTCGATTGGGTGGCATGTGAGGGGAGAAGGCGGGATTGGTTTCCTGAGAGAGGCGACGAGAAGATGGCGGCGGAAACCGTGGAACTGCATAAACTGAAGGTATTGACTGCGGTCTCGGGGTGGTGCGTCTTTCTTGCTCCGAGGAAACGGTGCTTGGCTGTCTTCTCGAATTCTGTTGATGGCCTTGTGTTTCCTTTCAGGGAAAAGAGGGAGTGGTTTTTCCTCTGTGGGTGGGTTTCTGTTGTCAGACCGACGGCTCCGCCACCTTCCGCGGGGGCGGGAAAGAAACGCAGCGTCTGTCCGGGTCCCGTTCCCCCCCCCTCCCGGCGTTGAGTGTCCTCCCTTTCCCTGGCTTGGTCTCGAAGTGCTGGCCTTTTCTTGCATGTCTCTCTGTCTTAGCTCCTCGCATCTCAAAAGAGGGCAGCGCGTTTATTTCCACATTGTTATTTTGTTTTGAATATATATATTCATTTATACTGCTGAGGGCTGTGTAGCTATCCGAACTAGCTTCCCACACATGTTTGTTGGACGTATTTTTAAAATCTATTCCCGTGCTTTGGAATTGTAGGGTGCTAAGAGTTTCGCAGTAATGGCGAAACTGAGGTTTTCGTGCTTTCAGTACGTTATGAAGGGACAAAGGCATGTTGGAAAAGTTAAAGGCAGCTGGAAGAGTAAGGCCAAACGTGAGTTGAGTTGACTCTATAAAATGAAGCTAGGGCCTTGAGTTGACAAGAGCTGTTGAGGACAGGACATTTTGGAGATCACCCTTTCATAGGCTTGTCATAAATCTGAGGTAACTTGGCAGCACATAGAATGTGCTGTAATGAGAGATTTGCTTTATATTGGCTCATGCCATAAGTCAATTAATCTTGAAACAATAGAAATGATATTAACATGACTTAGTGAGGAGGAAGAAAATATGCAAATATTGAGCTTTGTGTGAAAAGTACCATTTATTGCAGCGAATTATTGAAGATAAAGTAAATGAGTGAAGTACAGGAAGGAGAAGTATGTATTAGCTGAAGAACTTGACACCCTGTTTTGGATCCACCACAACATAATTGTTTAGAGTTGCAGCATTCAAAGTCAAAATGGCCATGATGATGCCCAGCTGCTGGTAGAAGAGAAACAACAGTAGAAGGGCCTGAAACAGTAATCTGAAACACAAAACTAATGTGTGGAATAAAAGTTTCACCTGGTAAGCTGATGTTTGCCAGGCAGCTATTAAAAACCCTGTAAAGGAATTGTTAGAGTTACACTGCTGTTTATAGTTTTCTGCAACTGGCACAATACACATTCGTTTTTATTCCTAAAAATGGAGATAAGGGTGTGTGTTTTTTGCTTCTATCATTCAGTTTGATGTCCATAGCCTTAAAGAAACAGAAGCAAAAAGATAAATGGATGCTACATTTGAATGTACTGTGAGGAAAATTTGCAGTTAGAATTCTTCTGTGACGTAAGTGCAAGGCTCATTATAAGGACAAGATCCATGATTATTCATATCCTAGAAGAGAAGCATCATAATATGTCCCAGTCAGTAAATAGGTCACTTTCCATCACCAGAATCAGATTTGCAGAGAAACTTTTTTGATCTCTTTTTAAGGCCATAAAATCAATTCTGTTGGATAATTTACACCAGCATAAAGCAAGCAACATCACCACAGACGCAGAGCACTGCTCATTAGAATTCCTGCTTCGATATCTCTTAGGATTCAGTGCTGCCTGCAAATAAGGTGCCAATCCATGTAAAGACTTAACCCTGCCTAGACTGTAATTGAGGTGTATATCAAATTGATTCACACACAGCAAGGAATCCTTGAGGAATCGCAGTAGGAACTCCAATGAATGGCAGTTCTCCTCTGCAGTGATATCATTTCCCAAATAGCAGCATAAGTTATCCAATAGAATTTTGGCTGTTGATGTAAAAAAAACTAAGATGATTATGGAGTTTCAATTAAATTGCATGGTCTTGGACTGCCTGAGGCCTTTTTCTTTCTTTTAGATCTGTTATCTTTATGGATCTTCTGCATTTTTCTTTCAGCTGCATGAGCCCAGTGTGCTTTGTTGAGGCAGATACAAAAATGACAGTCACTTTGGTGGTTTGTAATACCAGAACTGAATGTAAAATCCGTAGGTGGACATTATTAGATCCAGCTGTAAGTTAAGGCAAGTTCTTCTGTACTTTACAGCTTGCTGAACTGAAGCAGGAATGTTTAGCCAGAGGTCTGGAGGCAAAAGGAAATAAACAAGATCTTATCAACAGATTGCAAACCTATCTTGAACAGCATGGTAGGTACCTAAACCAAGTCTTTTCTATCCTGTATCAAGATCCTTCATAATTGAGCCTATCCAACAGATGCTGTTGCGAAATCTGAACAAGTTTGTTTTGTTTGTTGTTTACTTGTAGGGGTGTGAAATTCAAATCTTCGATTTTTCTGTTTAGTTCCCTTACTGGTCTCTTTTCATAATGCTCCCTTCATATATATATTCCCTTCATGAATAAAAAGAGTTTCTGACAAGGACTGCATTGACAATAACGAGAAAGATTATAATCTTATGTTACATATATCTTGGAATTAGGAGAGTCATCTTGTATTTCTTATGGGAATTAGGACATTTTGTCCATCAGTTACCATTGCTAAAACATTCTTGGCAATGATGATACTGTCTTAGCTGAGGCATTGCTGTTTCTACCTGTAGTATGTCTTATCTCAGTTATAGCTCTACATCTTGACAATACCAGGATGACAGTTGCTGGGTATTGCCTCTGATTAGCATCTGCTATAGACCCAAAGTGCACAACAGATTTTGTATACATATTTGGCATCTAGTATAGAGTTATTTTGAAGTGTACAGAGGCAGGAAAAAAGTAGTCTGGCTGGAGTGGAATTAGAACCCAGGGGTCACATGCTAAGGATGCACTTTACTTTTTAATTTTTTAATTTTTTTTAAATGAGTGAAATCAAGGAGGCTATTAGAATTCTTGAAATAAGTCATTTCAAAAACTGAAAGATCAAACTAGCATATTTCAGATCAAAGAACAGTGATACAAAGGGGTCTGACAGGAGGAGGAAGGCCCCATAATGTCACAAGAGAATTCTAAGAATCACAAAGTACGATTGGTAGAGATGGCAAATCAGATGTAGTGATACACTCAAAATCTATTGGGAGAGCTAAGAAATATGCGATCAGGAAGTTTGTTATAATTCTGGATTCCAAGCAGGGTCACTTAAAACAGAATGGCCAACACTGAGATATCAGGCTAATATACATCCTCCCTCTTGTCACATCAGTAGAAGAAAATTGATAGTTCCACTGGTGATGGGGGCACAGAAACTCTCGAGTAGAGATTGCCATCTTCCATATTCTGCTCCATAGAACCAGATGAGGGGATATCTGTTTCAACAAGTTTTATTGAAATGACAACAAACTTTCTATATAAATGAACACTTAATCAGTCCAGATTAGCTTTCAGCCTTGCATTTATAGCATCAACATTACAGACATGATTTCCATCTCTAACCTCCGGTCCAATCCCCAATATTTGGTACTCCCACCCTGGGTCTGACAGGTTGCCTTAGTTAAATGTGGCATGAGGTTCTGCAATATGTGGTCTATAGGAGTACGGGTGGATGGGACTGGATAACTTCCCTTCTCTTCCCCTTACCAGGGGGTCTGGTAAGTTCTGTTCCAGGCTCACATCTAGGTCTGTTTAGAGGTAGGTGGGTGAACTCCAGGAGCCTTTCCCTGACCCAGGCGTTTTCTCCCTCTTTTTCTCTTCTGCTCCAGAATGAAAGTTTATGGGGAGGTGGCTTATTGCTATGACATTCTGCCTTAGCTTTGGGTAACCTTAGAGAAACTACCTCTCTCATCCACTAGTGCTTTTTCTCAATATATCCCTATTTGGACTGGGGGGATAGCTCTCACTGCCACCTATCTATGAAGCGCTTCCTCCTGCTGTTCCTCTAGAGCAGTGGGTTTTGCATACATATTCATACACGTTAACTTTAATATCTCACTCCGAAAGGTCAAGGAAGAAGTTATGGCGCAAAGCCTCTGGGCTGCAAGGTTGAAATATTTATTTGTTTATTTGTTGACTTTATACCATGCCCATATAGTCAACAGACTACTCTGGGCGGCTAACAACATATAAAATAAACAATTTAAAATATAGGAACAATAGACAAGAGCTCAAGATGGAAGAACAAAATAAATCAAGAAATGACTGGAGAGAAGGCTTGCCTAAATAGCCAGGTTTTCAGTTGGCCTTTGAAAATGCCCGGCAAAGGGGCCATATGGATCTCAGAAGGGAGGTTATTCCAGAGGCGAGGAGCCACTGCCGAGAAGGCCCGGTTTCTTGTTTTTTCCTTCCTGGCCTCTCTCGGCATTAGACCCCTCAACCTCACCTCTTAGCTAGATCGGGTGATATGAGTAGATTTAGGTGGGAGGAGGCGTTCTGTCAGATATCAGCAGTTTGAATCCACACGACAGAGTGAGCTCCCATCGCTTGTCCCAGTTCCTGCCAACCTAGCAGTTTGAAAGCATGCAAAAATGCAAGTAGATAAATAGGTACCACCATGGTGGGAATGTAACAACGTTCCATTACCATGTCACCATGGAAACTGTCAATGGACAAACGCTGGCTCTACAGCTTGGAAATAGGGATGAGCACCGCCCCCTAGAGTTGGACATGACTGGACATTTGTCAAGGGGAACCTTTACCTTACAACACATATAAAGTGACCCACATGCTGTTAGGGTTCGACTTTCGGCTCCCTGTTCGGTTTAAAGAAATCAGTAGATTTTTGTTGCTTCCAAACAGGTGAAAGATTTTTTGATTGATTTAACAAAAAACAGGTGTCTGCAACATGATTGTGAGTCTTTTCTCCTTCTGCCAACGGGTCTGGAAGGGGTTTCCAATCTTCAAAGAGGAACGGGTTTTCATAACTATTGTTCCATGGTCCCGGTAGATCTGAGGGGACCCAGTCTCTTATGGTCTTCCCCGTTGAGCCTTCCACCAAGGGCACGGTCTCGTCGTCCCAGTCATCATCCCACAGGATCTGTCTCTCGGAGTCTTGGTTCTCCCAGGAGCTTCCCTGTTAACTCCTTCTCATCTCCCTTACTCTCCATTCTAATCTTTCTTTTCTCTCTCAACTCTCTCTCCTCTCTGTCTCCTCCTCCACTCTCTTGCCTTGGCTTCACCCCAATAAGAGGGTCTGGGTGAAATCTCCGCTGTCCTTCTATAATCTGCCTCTTCCTTAAGCACTTTTAGCCTCTCCCATAATCCCATCCAGGGATCCTCCATCCACACCCATTCCCAACTGGGTGGACGGCAACTGTCCTTCCCTTCCCTCCTTTCTACCTCCCCTGTTCCTGCCTCAAACTCCACCCTCTTTCTTCTCTCCCGCCTTTTCCTCCTGAACCTCCCTCATCGTCACTTTCTGCACCTCTTCTGTTCGTTCCTCTATTTCTGGCTCTTGCTGAGGTCTCGGTGTAGGCTCTGGTGCGGGCTTGGGTTTTGCTTTCTTATCCTTGCTGTTGAGGAGGGATGGTTCTCCAGCGAGTGGAGTATCCCTCTCGCCTTCTGTCTCACATGTGCCCCCAGAAAACATTTGCAACTTGCTTGGAGGTCATGACTCCCAGACTGGGAAACATTTCTCTACAGCCCCAGTTTTCTTCTTCCTCCCCGCCTCTCCTACAGTCTTCTCCTCCTTTGATTTCTTCACCCATCTCTGTAACTATGAGGCACTCCTTTCCTTATCTTGTTCTCTTTCGCCTATAGTCTCTAATTCTCTTTTTATAACTTTAACATCCCAACTCCCTTATTCTGCCTCTAGTTTTGAGGGCACACCAATAGGAATCCTGAAGTTTCTGTTAGCGTCCTGTTGCTCACAATGATTTAGGATTTTTCACAGATAACATCACTGACACTCAAGCAAACACTTGAAATTTAAAAAAAGTGCTGGAAGATGTGACTCCTAGGTCAAAAGGCAGTTTTGATCAAGCTGCACAGGAAGAGCAAAAGAAGGTATGAATAGTGGTATTTTTAATGAAATAACTAGATTAAAGCATGAAATGACTTTAAGTGACTGATGTGCATAGAGACAAAAAGGAAATCTGTTGCTGCACGATGCATATACAGTAATTTGAACTAAAGTTGACTGGAATAGGACATTTTCAGTCATATAATTACAAAAATGTTTTATTTTGTAAATGACAAAGTCAGAAGAAACAGTGTTAATATTGAATGAAGATGTACCACAAGCAGTTAGGTGCTATAACAGGAACTCTGACCAGATAATATTAGGTGCTATAATGTTAACTCTAATGAAATAATATAAATCAATCTTAACAGAAAATCTGTCACCATGATTCAGATCTGTTCTCCAACCAGAAATGCTAAAGATAAAAGTTATTCTTTATGCACATGTCCAAGAGGAATTTGATCACATACAAAAATGACACATCCTGACACGAATGCAAAAGTAGTAATTAAAGCAGAACCAAACATTGTTGGAGAATTTTATTTGTTTATTACTTGAATTTTTGGTGCCTAAGCACTACTCTGGGTGGCTTATAATAGTAAGCAAAACAAGATAAAAATGAAACTATTTAAAACAAAGATAGCAACTAACCAGTAAAAAGTTAAAAAATAGAACAGGTGAACAACTCATAGAATTATGTGAAGCTTGCAAAATGTTTATTGCAAATACATGCTTTAGGCAACCAGTCAGATCAGTGTACACATAGACATCACCAGGTGACTGGCAAAGTAGTCCAACAGGCTTTGTAATTGAAAGTAGTAATCATCACCATCATTTTAGAACTACATAGCTGGAAGGGACCCTATGGATCATCGAGTCCAGACCTTGCCAAGGATGCACAGTGGAGAACTAAATTCCCAACCTCTGCCTCTGCAGCCAGAGACCTAAACCACAGATCTATAGATGGAGTTGTTCTCTTTACCAAAAGAATCAGATTGTGGTACTGGCTTTGAATTGTTAGTATAAAAAAATTAGAATAGAACTGAGGAAGAACACAAAAAGAATCTTAATGCCAAAATGTAATTTAAATTACATTTCTTGTGAATTTACAGGCTGTATGACGTGTACATATATAAATTCATTTGACCATGAACAAGAACTGTGAATAAAAAGCAGATCTGTTATAAGGGAAGAATGAAAAAAGATTCCTGTATCCAAAAGAAATATTTCAGAAGAAAATCAGTGTGTGCTTTATATATTACAGCAGAGTAGTTTCGTCGTGGATCATGAAAAGTTATGGATTGT